TTCCATTGCTAAACATTTGTTAAGTGAATTTTGCCCCATGTTACTACCTTTCTTGCCACAGTTCATTGGTGGGTTATGACCTGTACACCCTGCTACGGGTGTACCGGTGCCTGCCGGGAGCACCAGGTACCATTCTGGTACGGTGCTCCAGAGGGCCCACCTGCCTGCCCGCGTTCCTTACTGTTATTTGAGGTTTTTGGGGCTTCCGCGCATGCGCATGGAGCGTACGGCGCCTGCATAACACTCCGCCGAGCAGCTGGAGCGTCACAGGCGGTAAGTACGCAGGTGTGCGCTGTGCACATGTGCACACGCATTGCACACATTCATGTGGACGCCCGGCCCCGTTACACCGTACCAATTGCACTGGGATCCGGAACCCACCACTGCCACAGCTGTTAAGCAAATCACTACAATTGTTAATTTATTAGCAGGGTTGTGCTACTTAACTTAAAGTGAAGGTGGTTCTCTCATTGACTTGGCTTATCAGAAGGTCACAAAAGGGAATCAAATGACTCTGGGACACTTCAACCATCATACATATGCTATATGTCTTAATTCTGATCATGTGACCATGGGGATGCTGCAACGGTTTTAAGTGTGCAAAACCGTCATAAGTCAATTTTTTCAGTACTGTTGTAACTCCGAATGGGCACTAAATAAGCTGTTGCAAGTCAACGATTACCTGTACTGGCTTTCTAATTTTAAAATGGCCCTTTGATGATGCCCCAATTTGTTCTTCTTCTCTGTGTTCAAGGAGTAGCAGAGGTGCACAGGTTTTCTCCAGAGTTTTTCGGAGAAGAAAACTCTGAAATAGTGAAACCTGCCCCAAAATCCAACCAGCACAGTTATTATTCAAGGGGGCAGTGCCCTCTATTGGTTAATTTGCTCCATCGGACAACGATCCAGACACATTTATGGAATAATAACATGTGTTGGTCCTTATAGCTCTCTTAATAAATTTCCCTTCCCTTTGGAAACCATTGTTCAATTATGCCTTCCTGTAAGACATTCATGGTTGCTTATGTTTGCCGACTTACTTGAGCTGTGCCTCTGTTAATCTGTCTTACTATTTGACACTAGGCCAGGTGGCATCTGTTCTCATTCAAATACATCCATGTTGTGGGGAGTTTATTCCTGGAAACTTGCCAGGAATTTAACCTTTTAAAATTTCAAAACAAATCAATGCCACTCATACCAGACTTTTCTCACCTGATGCCCTCCAGACGTGTTAGAACTGAAGCTTCCAAAATTCTTAATCAGGTGACGGATGTTAACAAGGCACCTGGGAGCTGGGATCGCAATACAGCTGGAAGATGCCAAATTGGGGAAAAAATTATGCTGCACCAGTGCATGGAGTTTATTGAGGATTTGCTTTCAATTTCTCAAAAAGTTCTGATGTATTTTATGACCAACACTAGAGGCATTGTATGGGGAAGCGTAATTGCAAATAGAAATTTGAGTACACATTTCTGGGTGACATTTAAAAAAATCATTTAAACGCTGTTCTTCAGAAAGTGCTATCCAAATGGCATTAGTGAAGATACAAGGCCTGTAGTCTTTCCTCTTCCAGGCATGATTACTGAGGATGCTGATTTATTACTTCCTTTCTCCTTTTCTTTGTGTCTGCAGGGGAACAGAGGTCGAACAGGGGTTGTTATTGCTGCTTACATGCACTATAGCAATATTTCAGCCAGGTAAGAAAACTACATATTGGGGTGTCTATAAAGAGCTAGAAAAGCAGTGGCTTTAATTCAGAAAGGGTAGTGATGTTGGAAATCTGCTTATTTAGAAACTTATGAAATCCACTTTGATAATAGAATCCCAAACTTTAGACAAAGCCTGATTTCCCTCCCAATACACACTCACAAATACACATCTTTGCCAAGCCTTCTGACATGATTACCAAACAAAATGACATTATTACATACTTTTAGCATGTTGCCTAAGTTTCTTATATGGATCAGGAAATTGCATGGAGATTTTATCCACAGCCCTTTTTGCTGTTAGAAAAAGCTTCTCTATTTAGTTCATAAGGACAGGATGAGTTTTGCTAATCACAAGTACAAAGTAGAGAGACCAAGGAGGGAAAATGAAAACACGAAATACATATTTACATGTAAAATTACTGAGCTGGGGTGTATGTGTGTTATTTTTAGTATTGGACCTTATTAATGATTGAAGGATGCCGTGTTTCATTTCTACAATTAAGTAACCCATCCCCACTCCAGACTAGAAGTTAGAACTTCAAACAGGGAGCAAAATAATACACTTCTATTACAAAAGACATAGAGTCAGTATCTCATGGTCTAGAAGCAAATGTAAAACACAATACTTTTCTCAAATCTGGTACTTTCTTGATGGGTGGGAGTTAACCCAACTGGAGGGCACTGGGTGGAGAAAGACTGGAAGGAGATGATTAACTGGCCCAATGTAGTTTTAAATTTAAATCAGCAAATATTATTTTACAGATGCAATTATAGTATTTGTGATTGAACACAAACAATGGTAGATGGGTGGACCAAAGTACTGCGGAAAGAACTCCCAAGGAAACTCTTATCATCCCAGAAGTAGAACTTGTACTGACACTTCTCTTTATTCCACAGTGCAGATCAAGCTCTGGACCGGTTTGCCATGAAGAGATTTTATGAGGACAAGGTGATCCCAGCTGGGCAGCCATCTCAGAAGAGGTTAGTCTGCCTCTCCTTCTGGTTGCTTTTATGGTGCTTTCAACACATACATGTAGAGTTGTTCAGAATCTCTCCATTCACATTAGTATTACACTTTTTCTTTGTGTACCTTAGTAGGCCTCAGTATTTTTTATTCATTGTTTGTTCAGAATCAAAATTTAACAAATCACATAGTTATTAAAATTAGACATAAAGTAGGCTTCAACACCAATCATAACTGGTAGGTAAGCTCCCTGTTGGGAGAGCCAGTACGTTCAGCGAAGCGTTGTGAGAGTTGTGTTGGAGAACACACAAAACAGCATAGAGAGACACTGCAGTTTAAATAGGCTTTTACTTTTGTGGAAATAGAGGTATCAGAGTCCATCAAACAGTCCAAGTCATACACAGATAAGTCAGTCAGTCAGTCATCAACGTCTCTCAATAAAGGGAGCTTCCAAATAACTTGTACTTGATGCCTCTTCACCCATCGTGGGTATAGGCGAATAACAATCCAAATAACATAGTCCAGTCATATATAATCAGTCTGGTACACAAAGTTTGTTAAC